TTTTTTTTTTTTTTTTTTTTTGGTTTGGTTTTTCGAGACAGGGTTTCTCTGTGTAGCCCTGGCTGTCCTGGAACTCACTCTGTAGACCAGGCTAGCCTCGAACTCTCGAACTCAGAAATCCGCCTGCCTTTGCCTCCCAAGTGCTGGGATTAAAGGCGTGCGCAGCAACCACCGCCCGGCTTATCACCTTCTTCTGATCCTTGTGGTTTACATTGTGTTCAGGATCTCATAGGGTCATCCAGAAACTTCTCAGTATTAGGAATGGCTATATAACTTGTAGGGACTACAAAAGTCAAATGCAGTGCCTCCTTCAGCACTTGAGAGGCAAGGCAGGCAGATCTCTGTAAATTCGAGGCCAGTCTGGTCTACAGATTGAGTTCCAAGATTCCCAGTGCTACACACAGTAACTCCTGTCTCAAAACAAAGCAAAAAAGTATGAATGTTGAGGTGTGGGTGGTGGTACATGCTTTAATCGGGAGGCAGAGGCAGGCAGATCTGTGTGCATTTGAAACTAGCCTAGTCTACATAGTAAGTTCCAGGATAGCCAGGGCTATGTAAAGTGATCTTGTCTCAAAAACAAAACAGCTAAAAACAAACAAAGAGAATGACAAAAGGAAGGTAGCATAATATCAAATAAGGTATGGGGCGTTCTTAATTATGGGGCTCTCTGTGACTGCATTATTACCTCTCAAGACCTCCTAAAACCATGCACAGTGGCCATAACGCTAATCCAAAATCCCAACACTTAGGAGGGAGGCTGGAGGACCAGAAATCAAGGTTATCCTCAGCTACATGGCAAGTGCCAGACCAGCATGGACTTTATAAGACCCTACATAAAAATTAAATTAAATTAAATTAAATTAAATTAAAACCAAACCAAAAAAAACAACAACAAAAACTAGCCTTTTTTACTGTTCATCTTTCATTGTAACCATGGGAATGTGTATTAAGTAGGCCAGAGACACAACTACCTATACCCCAGGCCTTTCCATTCTCTCTCTGTTTTTATTAAGGCATCTATTTTTAATATATTATTTATTTATTTTTATCTATATGAGTACACTGTGGCTGTCTTCAGAGACACCAGAAGAGTATGCATCTGATCCCATTACAGATGGTTGTGAGCCACCATATGGTTGATTGGGAATTGAACTCAGGACCTCTGGACTCTGTCAGTGCTCTTAACCACTGAGCCATCTCTCCAGCCCCTATTAAAGCATCTTATAAAACCAGAATATGCATTAGAAGCCCACTCCAGAATAAAGAAAGAGTCAGTTAAGTATTCACTCATGCTATATAGAAATCATTGGTAGCATCTTCATGGATTTTTTTTTTCAGCAGTATTTACAAAATCATGGTATCCAAAATTTAGCCTTGTTCTTCTGATCCAAAGCTCTGGAAAACAGCTACATTGGGTTAGTCTTCCCCCGAGAATACACATAATTATTGTGTTTGAATACATGTGTGGTTAACCTCTAGGCTAAACTGTCTAGGAGGGCTTTTAGTTAATTTTCATAGTCTTCCCAAACTGTACAACCCAAATATTGTAACAAAAACATCTGCCTCCTCTTTCCTATTTATTTTACATCATTCTGTCTCTTGCATTATCATACTTGCTCTAATAGAAATCCTTTTAAAATTGGCTAACAAGGAAGGGCTAGATGATTCAGTGGGCAAAGCTGCTCATAGCCAAGTTGGACAACCAGAGTTTAATCCCTGGGACTCACGGGGTGGAAGGAGAGAAATGTCTATAGTAAATTGTACTCTGATATCCACACAAGTGGCAAGGCACACTTGAGTTCACACACATACATGCACAATAAATAAATAAATAAAACACTTTTTAGAAATAAATCAGGTATGGGGTGGGGGAAGGAATAATGAAGAGTGATTTGGTCTTGTAGATAGAAAAATGACTTAAGGGGGCTGGAGAGATGGCTCAGTGGTTAAGAGCACTGACTGCACTTCCAGAGGTCCTGAGTTCAAATCCCAGCAACCACATGGTGGCTCACAATCATCTGTAATGAGATCTGATGCCCTCTTCTGGTGTGTCTGAAGACAGCTACAGTGTATTCATATATAATAAATAAATAAATCTTTAAAAAAAGAAGAAAGAAAGAAAAATGACTTAAACTCAAAATAATGAGACAGTAATGAAGGCAGCAGAATTTCAAAGTCTTTTTTTTTTCTTTTTTAAAAAACTTTGTGTTAATACAAGGTTTCATGTAGACCAGGCTGGCCTCAGCTCTGAGGTGACAGATTAACTTGCTTCTCTCATCTTCTGACAGAATTTCTCTGCTTGGCCTCAAACTAATTCTAGCGATCGGTTCTAATCTTCTGGTTCTTCTCTCTCTGGCTCATTCTGTCTTCACTTGTAACCTGTCTCTGATAAACTATCCTGATAAAACTGCTCCTGTAACCTGTCTCTCCTTCTCCCCAAGCCCTTCCTCCTACCTTAAGCCACTGACTCAACCAAACTGACTAGAACTCAGAGATCTGCAGGCCTCAGTCTCCTGAGTGCTGGCATTAAAGGCTTGTGCCACCACACCTGGAACGAAATTTTTTTTTTGCCTGAAACTTGCTCTGTACCATCCTGTCCTGGAGCCCATGCCCGTTATGATCCCTTTCCAGAGGATGTTGCTGGATTAAAATTCCACTACACAGATCTTTGAAAGGGAAAAAAAGAAAACAAAACAGAATGATCCAGTCATCATGATGACACCTGTAATTTCTTGTGGGTTTTGGTGTTTTGTTTTTTGAGACAAGAGTTTCCGTGTGCAACTTTGGTTTTCCTGGAACTCACTGTGTAGACTAGGCTGGCCGTGAATCCCAGCAAGTGTTGGAATTAAAGATGTAGGCCATTACTGCCTGGCTTTTTTGTTGTTGCTTTGTTTTGTTTTGTTTTTGAGTTACATAACAATCCTCTTGCCTCAGATCCCTCGTTTGAGATCACCCTTCAAGGCCCTATTCATGCTGGACACAAGACGCACATTAGAGACAACAAACCAGCTAGAGGCCGCCAGTGGCCTCTGTTGGGATGAGCGCGTCTGGCCCCGCCCAGGACCGCAAAGGTTTTTAAGGGCCCGCCCACCCGTCCGAGTTTCCCAAAATCCCGTGCGGCAGACTCCGGCCGCTCCAAGATGGCGACTCCCATGCATCGGCTCATAGCTCGGAGGCAAGCGTAAGTCAGACGCCTAGTCGGGTCTGCCGGAGGGGTTGCGGGACTGTACGAGATCTGAAGAGAGTCCGAAATGAATTCAAGAGTTGGTCGCTGGGTGGTTTGTGTCCCCTATGTCCGTTCCACACGTCAAGGGTAGCCTGGATGCATGGTTCTACATCTTCCCTCTCAAGGACCCAAACTTTTCCCTCTGCAGCGTCTCCCGACTCCTTTCTATCGCCTTTCCTAGAAAGAAGCCTGTCTGCAATGCCTATTCTTTTTGTTGTTGTTGTTTTTGTTTTGTTTTTTTCGAGACAGAGTCTCTCTGTATAGCCCTGGCTGTCCTGGAACTCACTCGGTAGACCAGGCTGGCCTCGAACTCAGAAATTCGCCTGCCTCTGCCTCCCAAGTGCTGGGATTAAAGGCGTGCACCACCGCTGCCCGACTTGCAATGCCTATTCATTTCTCATCTACCGTCTCACTTTCTGCTGTTCTCTCAATAAATAATTACTTTAGTACTATTACTCCTTGACAGTTTTACTGTGAAGAAAAGTGTATTCAACACACGGAGCTTACAGTCTTACTGTGGAACCTGTTGATACTCTAAACAAGTACAGCTGGTGGTTTAAATAGTTTTGTAGGAGCTCTACGGTGGTAGTGCTTCCAGCACTCTGGAGACAGAAGCAGGCAGATTGCTGAATTCTGGGCCGGCCTGGTCTAAGAGTAACCCTGTCTCTCTGATAACAAAACAAAATTAAACATAGGAAATAAGAGGTTGTGATGAGGAAAGGCAAAGGGCTGTTTCAAGTTAGTTGAACTAGAAATGCATCTGTGGAGGGGCGACATTTGAAGACAGAATAAAAGCCATTGAAAGAATCTGGTCACCAGAGGATTTGAGGAAAGATAGAGACAGTGGTATAATTGCTTTGAGTCTGTTAGAAATTTTTTTTTTTTTTGCGGGGGTGGGGGGAGGTGTTGGGGGTGGGCAGATTTAGGGACAGGGTTTCCCTGTGTAGCCCTGGCTGTCCTGGAACATCTGTAGACCAGACTGGCCTCAAACTCAAGATATCTGCTTGCCTTCTGTGTGATGGGATTAAAAGCATGTGCCACTATGCCCAGCTTAAATAAAAAAAAAATTTTTTTTTTTGAATCTCAGTAACTATCAGTCCTGGTGGCAGAGCCTTTAATCCGAGCACTGGAGAAGCAAGCAGGTGGAGCACTGTGAGTCAAAGCCAGCCTGGTCTACATAGCAAACTGCAGGCCAGCCACAGCTGTGTAGGGAGACCTGTCTTCAAAAAGAAAAAAAAACAAACCAACTCAGTAACTACCCATTCAGAGGTGTAAGGGGCTGAGACTTGTTACGTGAACATGATCTTGAGTCCAGCCTGGGCAACATAATAAGACTTCATCCTAAAACAAAAACCCTCCAGCAATGTTATACCCACTCTCTGTATGGCCGTGGGAGGTGACATGCTGTTTCTCAAACCTGTCAAAAGTCATATGAAACTGAAAGGAAAACACTGTATGGATCTAATACCTGCATGCTTGGAGCTTTCTTATTATTGACCTAACCTATGATTTATAAATTAAAAACCTGAGTGTTGGGCCAGATATGGTGGATTATGCTTTTCATCCCAGCACTCAGGAGGCAGAAGCAGGTGGATCTGTGAGTTCAAGGCTAGGTCATCCAGGGCCACAAAAGAGACCATGTCTCAAAAACAAAATACAAGGAGTGTTTTCCAATTAAAAGTCATGAGGCTTTCCTTGTTTCATATTGTTTCTCTTTTTGGTTTTTTAAGACCTCAGACAGAGATCCACCTGCCTCTGCCTCCTGAGTGCTTGGATTAAAGGCATGCACTTGTTGTATTGCTTTTCTTTTCTTTCTTTCTTTCTTTTTTTTTTTTCAAGACAAGGTTTCTCTGTATAGCTCTGGCTGTCCTGGAACTCACTCCATAGACCAGGCTGGCCTCGAACTCAGAAATCTGCCTGCCTCTGCCTCCCGAGTGCTGGGATTAAAGGAGTGCACCACCACCACCCAGCTGTATTGCTTTTCTTAACTGGCTTATCTTCATCTTTGCTAAACATTTTCTTGTTAGATTTAATACGCAGTTCCATTGTCCAGGACTTTTGGTTTCTGGCCGGTCACCCATCATATTTCCTGTGCCATCTGTTTTGTTTATGACAGATCTCTACCACTGTGTTCCTGGTCCTGCCTCGCCCTTCAGGATCCTGGGATTACAGGCGTGCACTATGCCCAGCTTTAAAATAGCTTAACTTCCTTTATATAATATTTTTAGAGGCTGAATCTGAGGAGTAACATATGCCAAGCAAAAGTTCCAAAACAAAGCTATCTCCCCAATATCCCTCTCTATGTGCCAGTCTTTAAACAATTTTTAAAAGATAAATGTGTTTTAGCTGCTTGTCATCTCTACAGCATGTGTACTTGATGCCCTTGGAAGTCAGAAGAGGGTGTCAGATCCCTTGGAACTGGAGTGATAGGTGATTATAAGCCACCATATGGAATCTTGGTCTTTTGCAGTAGCAGCAAGTGCTTTTAACTGTTAAACCTTTCTCTAGAAATCAAACAAACAAACAAACTTTTTTGTGGGTGAATAGGAGTAGAGGTCAGAGGACAACTTGTTGGGGTCAGATCTAAATATGCTTGTTTTTTTGACTGTAGCGTGTTATATGTCAGGTATAAAATTTTCCATTTGTGGTGCTTTGAGGCTCAAAAAAAGTGTTACATTTTGAAGTATTTAGGTTTTAAATGTTTGATTAGGAATGTTCAACCTGTATTGCAAAAGGGTCTCACCCATAAAACTTATCAGTATGCAAAAAAAATTTTTTTTGGAAGCTTAAAGACTACTACCGTACAAGCTGGGTGTGGTGGCTCACACCATTAATCCTAGTATTGTGTGGTAAGTGCCTTTAACCCACTGAGCTATCTCACCACCACCATTTTTCATTAGTAAGTAAAAAAAGTGATAGCCAGACACAGTGGCCCATGCCTTTAATCCCAGTACTTGGAAGGAAGAGGAAGATCTATGAGTTTAAGGCTAGCCTTGTCTACAGATCTAGTTCCAGGAAAAAAAAAAAAAAAGAAAGAAAGAAATCAAAAGCAGAATGAACCAACCAAACAAACTTTTTTATTTGTGTGTGAATAGGAGTAGAGGTCAGAGGACAACTTGTTGGGGTCAGATCTTTTTCCACTACACAGATCTAGGGATTCAACTCAGATCTTTGGGCTCACAGCAAACACCCTTACCCAGCCAGCCATTTCCCAGCCTCAAAAGTGTTTTAATGGATTAGGGGTCTGGCTCAGTAGTAGAGCATTTGAGAAGGAGGCTCTGAGTTTAATATCTGGCATTACAACAAAGACAATCTTTCTTTTTTTTTTTTTTTCCTCAGTTTTTTCGAGACAGGGTTTCTCTGTTTATTCCTGGCTGTCCTGGAACTCACTCTGTAGACCAGGCTGGCCTCGAACTCAGAAATCCACCTGCCTCTACCTCCCAAGTGCTGGGATTAAAGGTGTGTGTCACCACTGCCTGGCACAACAAAGAAAATCTTTATTATTCTTTGTATTCTGAGCTAAAAAATGTTGGTCCAAATTCATTATTATTGGAATGGGAAACTTAAATTTTTTGTTTTTATGTATCTGTTTTGCTTTGTTGAGATAGCTGCTCAGGCTAACTTTGAACTCAGAGCCATCCTCCTACTTTGGCCTGAAAAGTGAAAAGATTATAAGCATGAAATACAGTGCTGGGCTCAGAAGAGCAAGACAACCCCAAGTTGCATACATCGATCACTGAAGTGTACTGTCTGTGTGCCTACTAGAGTCAGCATCACCTGATACTTTATGCTCTTCCAGGTCAGAAAGTGTCCCAAGGCAAAACTTCTAAAGCTTGTATTCTGTTTTTTCTTTGTAGTGAAGCCAATAAGCAACATGTAAGATGTCAGAAATGCTTGGAATTTGGACATTGGACTTATGAATGCAAAGGGAAAAGAAAGTACTTACACAGGCCTTCAAGAACTGCAGAGCTGAAGAAAGCTCTAAAAGAAAAAGAAAACAGATTATTGCAGCAAAGGTAGGTTTACGGGGCTGGAGAGATGGCTCAGCGGTTAAGAGCACAGACTGCTCTTCCAGAGGTCCTGAGTTCAAATCCCAGCAACCACATGGTGGCTCACAACCATCCGTAATGAGATTGGATGCCCTCTTCTGGTGTGTCTGAAGACAGCTACAATGTACTCATCAATAAAATAAAATAAATAAATATTAAAAAAAAAAAAAAAAAAGGTAGGTTTACATGTGATATCCAGGGGAATTTACAAAAATATTTACAGAATCAGTTAAGGGGCTGAAACTTTCATTATAATGCTAGCTGATATTTTTGTTTATTTTGAGTTTTGTATACCTTCTCACAATGTCGCTCAGGCTGTCCTCAAGTTTGCAGTCGTCCTGTGTCAGTCTCCTGAGTGCTGGGATTACAGGTGTGCACCCTGCCACATCCAGGTTACAGTACTATCAGCTGGTTTTTTTTTTTTTTTTTAAGTTTATTTATATATTTATTTATTTATTTATTTATTGTATATGAGTACACTGCAGCTGTCTTCAGACACGCCAGAAGAGGGCATCGGATCCCATCACAGATGGTTGTGAGTCACCATGTGGCTGCTGGGAACTGAACTCAGGACCTCTGGGAGAGCAGTAGGTGCCCTTAACCACTGAGCCATCTCACCAGCTGGTTTTTAATGAATGGTTACTCTGTGTCCAGGCCCCTATGTGTGCTCTTCATAAGTAGCATATTTAAACCTCAAAGTTCTACTAGTAAGGGAGCTGTTACTAACCTATTGGTATGCATGTGTGTGCGTGTGTGTATGCATGTACACACATACAAATTAAATTTAAAAAAAATAATTGATCACCAAATTAATATTTTTTCCATTCATGCTTTTTCCAAAAAGAAATCTGTAAGGACCTGTCTCTTGGTTTTCTTTTTTAATTTCCTCCTCTCCTACCCTTTATCATAAATTAAAAATCTGGAGAGGCCCTTAGTCCCACCCAAAGATCCTGTTGAGAATGGTGAAAGATGGTGTCCTGTAGGCACTGGTCCCACTCTTACAGGACAAGGAAATCCTCACATGGCCAGTGAGCCAGGCTTATAAAATTTAGTTACTGTGCAGAATTTATAGTTTAATTTCTACACTGGACAGGAAGGAATAAGAGTGACTTGTCCTTAGGTAATACTTCTGACTGGATTCCTATGTTTTCAAGTTCAGAAGACACAGCATTTCTGTCTCATCCACTTAAGCTAAGTGTGTGTACACCTGTAATCCTAGCATTTATGGAGTAGGAGCATCAGGGTCATCCTTGGCTACATAGTATGCCAAAGCAAGTCTGGACTATAGAAGACCCAATCTCCAAAGTTGACAAATAGAGCCAGGTATGGTGGTCTCATCGTTAATATTAGCACTTGAAAGGCAGAGGCAGGTGAGTCTTTTAATTTGAGGCCAGCCAGCGTTATATAGTGACAGCCTATCTTCAAAAACACCCCCCTCTTAAATTGACAAAAAACACGTTAAAACAAAACAACCCAGCCTACTAATTGGGCCAGGATCTTTGCTTGCTAAGAACTGATCTTTAGCTGGGCAGTGGTGGTGCACGCCTTTAATCCTAGCACTTGGGAGGCAGAGACAGGCAGATTTCTGAGTTCGAGGCCAGCCTGGTCTACAGAGTGAGTTCCAGGACAGCCAATACTACACAGAGAAACCCTGTCTCGAAAAACCAAAAAAAAGAAAAAAGAAAAAAACTGATATTTAGAGCGTGCAAAGAACTAAAATCACTACACAAGAAAATAGCCCAATTTTAAAATTTGGACTAAGGAATTTAATAGTTATAAAAAATACAAATGGCTAATGAATATTTTTAAAAGTGTCCAACATCCTTAGCCATCAGGGAAATGCAAATTAAAACTAGGTTGATCTTCAGTCTCACCCTGTACAGAATGGCCACCCATCAAGAAGACAAAAGCTGGCAAGGATTTGGGTGAAGAGCAACCTTACTCACTATTGATGGGAGTGTAAACTAGTGCTGTGGCTACTATGGAAGTCAGTGGGGGCTCTAAAAAAAAAAAAAAACCTAAATAGAATCTCCATGTGACCTAGTTATGGTATTCTGGGCATGTACCCAAATGGTCCTAATCCTGCCACAGAGATGCTTTAACTGCCACGTTTAATGCTGCTCTACCCACCATAGCAAGCAAATAGAATCACCAATAGGGGAGAACAAAAGAGGCTTTAAGAGAGAGGAGTAAAGCAGGTACGGAACACTTGAGATGTGAAGGAGCCATACAGGGATGAGAGTGCAAAAGGAAGGTAAGAAACGGAGCAGCAGGAAGAAAGACGCAGAACAAGTATTCTCACCTTAGGCTAAGGATGCAGCTAAGGGGTCAATGCCTGCTTAGCATGCATGAGCTCTCCACCCTCCAGCACCACACAGCCCTCCCTTTCCCTCAAGCCCTCCCCTTCCTCCTCTCCCTGTCTCCCTCCTCCTCCCTCTCCTTCTATCTCTCTATATAAATAATAGATAATTGTGTGGCTTTTCTGTATCAAAACTTCATCTCTTTGAGCAAGTCATGTTTCTCAGGAATGAATGTAAAGATTAAAGTTAGAAACTGAGTCAATACTAAACTTTGCCAGATTCTAATGATCAGTACCTACTCAGTCAGTATGATAGCTCACACCTCTAATCTCAGCACCCAGGAGGCAGAAGCAGGTAGATTTCTGTAGTTTCAAGGTCCATCTGGTCTGCATAACTAAATCCATGTTACCTGGAGCTATGTGGTCATACCCTGTCTGGAGTTAACTCATTATTCAGCTCTACCAGGGCTGATGTCTAGACACTGAGGATGGTCTAATGTTTGACATACCACTGAAAGCTTTTCTGTGATGTGACCTCTCACAAAACAAGGCAGTGCCTGCTCCCCGCTAATAGAATCACCTTCTGTTATTCCTCAGAAAGTGGAAATGTGCACAGCTGTGCAAAGTTTGAACTAAAATTCTCTCATGAGATTGGTTAGAATGAAACAATATGTCTGCAGGGCCTGCGGTGGCTCTATGTGGTAAATATGTCTGTGGTAGGATTGAGCCTACTTTCCTAATCAAGGAGCAGAAACTTGTTTTGAAAATCTTTAAGGTACAAGCACGGGGTAGAAGTTGGGCTGATACGTAGCTCAGTTTGCAGAGTGCTTGCCCAGCATGCACAAGGTTCTGAGTTTCATCCATGACACTGCGTAAAGGGAAACGGAAGGGTCAAGAGGTCAGCGTCATCTGCAGGTAGTAGATGTGTTCAAGCCTAGCCTGGGCTACATGAAACCTTGTCTCAAGAAAATAAAAGAAACTTCACTACTTAGAATTAATTTGAAAAAGAAAAGAGTGAAATTGTGTGAGGTATAGAGTACTTGCCCAGCAGTACCAGCCCTGGATTTGAACCCTGTACCAAGTAATAGGAGCAGTTCTGTAATCTGAAAGCTGGATCAGTGGACATGCTGATGGCAGAAGTGCAGCTCCTGCTCCACTGCCCTTTATGGTGTCAGGGAACAGTCTGCAGCATTGAGTTCCTGAGGTTTTGTTTTAAACAATAACTAAAATTTTGGAACCTGTACAGAAATTAAATTTGCTTTTGTAAAAGTTAGAAATGGCCGTGTGTAATTCTAGGAAGTCAGATTACAGCTGTTGTGCTGTTGTTGGCCTTGCTTGTTCTGTAAGTAAAGTTCTAAACAAAACAAACAAGTCTGTGTGCTCCGTCATCTTAACTCCTAACAGGCTTTGATGGTACAAGAGATAAAGTGTGTTATTGAGGAACACAGTCGATCATATGCACTGCGTATGCCTGTCCCAGGAGGGAAGCTTTGTACTTGATTAGAACAAGAAATCCTGTGCCCTTGAGCTTATGAAATGAAGAACAGAACTGGTCTGAGGGTAGCAGAGGAGTCTGTGGTCACTCTTATTAAAAGGAGCTTTTGTTTCCCTTTGTATCTTAGCATCGGGGAGAACAACATAGAGAGAAAAACCAAGAAGAAGAGGTAGGTGGCTTTTGGTGACACTACCTGGGGGAGGAAGGTTGGTCTGAAATCTTTGTTTGCAATCCTTTTTTTTTTTTTAAACATTTATTTGTCTTATAATTTGAGGACATTGTTGATGTTTCGATGTTTTCAGACACACCAGAAAAGGGCATCAGATCCCATTACAGATGGTTGTGAGCCACCATACGGTTGCTGGGAATTGAACTTAGGACCTCGGGATGAGCAGTCAGTGCTTTTAACTACTGAGCCATTTCTCCAGTCCCTGTTTGCAATTCTTGATTTTCATTGTGTTTTCTA